AGGAAGAGAGAGAAGGCAAAGATGGGAGAGGTGAAGGTCACTTAGAATATAAATAGAAAATAAATATAAAATTTACTTACAAAAATATTAAGCCGGCTGCTTTACTCGATGTGCGTGGGTTGTTGAGGGTGGATTGAAAGTGAGGCACGCTTTGCAAATGATGTTGCTGCTCGGTGGGCTTGCATGGCTTGCTGAAAGACCAAAGAAGGGCCAGAGGAACGTCACCTATTAAAAAAATAATAATTAAAAGCGATTCAAACAGGAGACGAGCGAAGGAGAATAAGGTGGACGACGAGCCGAGTGGGACAAACAGGCCAAGGCACTCCTTGAAATTTTGTAATGGATTGAGGATGTTGGTCAGGAAGAGAGAGAAGGCAAAGATGGGAGAGTTGAAGGTCACTTAGAAATTAAATAGAAAATAAATATAAAATTTACTTATAAAAATATTAAGCAGGCTGCTTTATTTGATGTGAGTGGGTTGTTGAGGGTTGATTGAAAGTGAGGCACGCTTTGCAAATGATGTTGCTGCTCGGTGGGATTTCATGGCTTGCTGAAAGACCAAAGAAGGGCCAGAGGAACGTCACCTGTTAAAAAAAAAAATATTTAAAAGTGATTCAAACAGGAGACGAGCGAAGGAGAAAAAGGTGGACGACGAGCCGAGTGGGACAAACAGGCCAAGGCACCCCTTGAAATATTGTAAGGGATTGAGGATGTTGGTCAGGAAGAGAGAGAAGGAAAAGATGGGAGAGTTGAAGGTCACTTAGAATATAAATAGAAAATAAATATAAAATTTACTTACAAAAATATTAAGCCGGCTGCTTTACTCGATGTGCGTGGGTTGTTGAGGGTGGATTGAAAGTGAGGCACGCTTAGCAAATGATGTTGCTGCTCGGTGGGCTTGCATGGCTTGCTGAAAGACCAAAGAAGGGCCAGAGGAACGTCACCTGTTAAAAATATAATAATTAAAAGTGATTTAAACAGGAGACGAGCGAAGGAGAAAAAGGTGGACGACGAGCCGAGTGGGACAAACAGGCCAAGGGACCCCTTGAAATTTTGTAAGGGATTGAGGATGTTGGTCAGGAAGAGAGACAAGGCAAGGAAGGAAGATTTGAAGGTCACCCAGTAATTTAATCACAAATAAATCTAAAATTAATGTGAAAAGGAATGAGCCATCTACGTTAATCTGGGTTTAGGGGGTGGATGAGGGTGGAATTAGTGCAAGGCATGCTTTGAAAATGATGGGGCTGGTGCGTGGGCATGCAAGGATTGGTGAAACGTCAAGGAAGCGCGAGAGGAACGTCACCTATTAAAAAAATAAAAATTAAAAGTGATTTCAGCATAGTTCATGCTAAAGCGTAAATAACGGACGTAGCGCCTTGAGGGTCAAAAAGGCCAAGGCACCCCTTGAAATTTTGTAAGGGATTGAGGATGTTGGTCAGGAAGAGAGAGAAGGCAAAGATGGGAGAGTTGAAGGTCACTTAGAAATTAAATAGAAAATAAATTAAAAATTTACTTACAAAAATATTAAGCCGGCTGCTTTACTCGATGTGCGTGGGTTGTTGAGGGTGGATTGAAAGTGAGGCACGCTTTGCAAATGATGTTGCTGCTCGGTGGGCTTGCATGGCTTGCTGAAAGACCAAAGAAGGGCCAGAGGAACGTCACCTATTAAAAAAATAATAATTAAAAGCGATTCAAACAGGAGACGAGCGAAGGAGAAAAAGGTGGACGACGAGCCGAGTGGGACAAACAGGCCAAGGCACTCCTTGAAATTTTGTAATGGATTGAGGATGTTGGTCAGGAAGAGAGAGAAGGCAAAGATGGGAGAGTTGAAGGTCACTTAGAAATTAAATAGAAAATAAATATAAAATTTACTTACAAAAATATTAAGCAGGCTGCTTTACTCGATGTGAGTGGGTTGTTGAGGGTGGATTGAAAGTGAGGCACGCTTTGCGCATGATTTTGCTGCTCGGTGGGCTTGCATGGCTTGCTGAAAGACCAAAAAAGGGCCAGAGGAACGTCACCTATTAAAAAAATAAAATTAAAAGTGATTTCAGCATAGTTCATGCTAAAGCGTAAATAACGGACGTAGCGCCTTGAGTGTCAAAAAGGCCAAGGCACCCCTTGAAATTTTGTAAGGGATTGAGGATGTTGGTCAGGAAGAGAGAGAAGGCAAGGAAGGAAGATTTGAAGGTCACCCAGTAATTTAATCACAAATAAATCTAAAATTAATGTGAAAAGGAATGAGCCATCTACGTTAATCTGGGTTTAGGGGGTGGATGAGGGTGGAATTAGTGCAAGGCATGCTTTGAAAATGATGGGGCTGGTGCGTGGGCATGCAAGGATTGGTGAAATGTCAAGGAAGCGCGAGAGGAACGTCACCTATTAAAAAAATAAAAATTAAAAGTGATTTCAGCATAGTTCATGCTAAAGCGTAAATAACGGACGTAGCGCCTTGAGGGTCAAAAAGGCCAAGGCACCCCTTGAAATTTTGTAAGGGATTGAGGATGTTGGTCAGGAAGAGAGAGAAGGCAAAGATGGGAGAGTTGAAGGTCACTTAGAAATTAAATAGAAAATAAATTAAAAATTTACTTACAAAAATATTAAGCCGGCTGCTTTACTCGATGTGCGTGGGTTGTTGAGGGTGGATTGAAAGAGAGGCACGCTTAGCAAATGATGTTGCTGCTCGGTGGGCTTGCATGGCTTGCTGAAAGACCAAAGAAGGGCCAGAGGAACGTCACCTGTTAAAAATATAATAATTAAAAGTGATTTAAACAGGAGACGAGCGAAGGAGAAAAAGGTGGACGACGAGCGGAGTGGGACAAACAGGCCAAGGGACCCCTTGAAATTTTGTAAGGGATTGAGGATGTTGGTCAGGAAGAGAGACAAGGCAAGGAAGGAAGATTTGAAGGTCACCCAGTAATTTAATCACAAATAAATCTAAAATTAATGTGAAAAGGAATGAGCCATCTACGTTAATCTGGGTTTAGGGGGTGGATGAGGGTGGAATTAGTGCAAGGCATGCTTTGAAAATGATGGGGCTGGTGCGTGGGCATGCAAGGATTGGTGAAACGTCAAGGAAGCGCGAGAGGAACGTCACCTATTAAAAAAATAAAAATTAAAAGTGATTTCAGCATAGTTCATGCTAAAGCGTAAATAACGGACGTAGCGCCTTGAGGGTCAAAAAGGCCAAGGCACCCCTTGAAATTTTGTAAGGGATTGAGGATGTTGGTCAGGAAGAGAGAGAAGGCAAAGATGGGAGAGTTGAAGGTCACTTAGAAATTAAATAGAAAATAAATAAAAAATTTACTTACAAAAATATTAAGCCGGCTGCTTTACTCGATGTGCGTGGGTTGTTGAGGGTGGATTGAAAGTTAGGCACGCTTTGCAAATGATGTTGCTGCTCGGTGGGCTTGCATGGCTTGCTGAAAGACCAAAGAAGGGCCAGAGGAACGTCACCTGTTAAAAATATAATAATTAAAAGTGATTTAAACAGGAGACGAGCGAAGGAGAAAAAGGTGGACGACGAGCCGAGTGGGACAAACAGGCCAAGGCACCCCTTGAAATTTTGTAAGGGATTGAGGATGTTGGTCAGGAAGAGAGACAAGGCAAGGAAGGAAGATTTGAAGGTCACCCAGTAATTTAATCACAAATAAATCTAAAATTAATGTGAAAAGGAATGAGCCATCTACGTTAATCTGGGTTTAGGGGGTGGATGAGGGTGGAATTAGTGCAAGGCATGCTTTGAAAATGATGGGGCTGGTGCGTGGGCATGCAAGGATTGGTGAAACCTCAAGGAAGCGCGAGAGGAACGTCACCTATTAAAAAAATAAAAATTAAAAGTGATTTCAGCATAGTTCATGCTAAAGCGTAAATAACGGACGTAGCGCCTTGAGGGTCAAAAAGGCCAAGGCACCCCTTGAAATTTTGTAAGGGATTGAGGATGTTGGTCAGGAAGAGAGAGAAGGCAAAGATGGGAGAGTTGAAGGTCACTTAGAAATTAAATAGAAAATAAATTAAAAATTTACTTACAAAAATATTAAGCCGGCTGCTTTACTCGATGTGCGTGGGTTGTTGAGGGTGGATTGAAAGTGAGGCACGCTTTGCAAATGATGTTGCTGCTCGGTGGGCTTGCATGGCTTGCTGAAAGACCAAAGAAGGGCCAGAGGAACGTCACCTATTAAAAAAATAATAATTAAAAGCGATTCAAACAGGAGACGAGCGAAGGAGAATAAGGTGGACGACGAGCCGAGTGGGACAAACAGGCCAAGGCACCCCTTGAAATTTTGTAAGGGATTGAGGATGTTGGTCAGGAAGAGAGAGAAGGCAAGGAAGGAAGCTTTGAAGGTCACCCAGTAATTTAATCACAAATAAATCTAAAATTAATGTGAAAAGGAATGAGCCATCTACGTTAATCTGGGTTTAGGGGGTGGATGAGGGTGGAATTAGTGCAAGGCATGCTTTGAAAATGATGGGGCTGGTGCGAGGGCATGCAAGGATTTGTGAAATGTCAAGGAAGCGCGAGAGGAACGTCACCTATTAAAAAAATAAAAATTAAAAGTGATTTCAGCATAGTTCATGCTAAAGCGTAAATAACGGACGTAGCGCCTTGAGGGTCAAAAAGGCCAAGGCAACCCTTGAAATTTTGTAAGGGATTGAGGATGTTGGTCAGGAAGAGAGAGAAGGCAAAGATGGGAGAGGTGAAGGTCACTTAGAATATAAATAGAAAATAAATATAAAATTTACTTACAAAAATATTAAGCCGGCTGCTTTACTCGATGTGCGTGGGTTGTTGAGGGTGGATTGAAAGTGAGGCACGCTTAGCAAATGATGTTACTGCTCGGTGGGCTTGCATGGCTTGCTGAAAGACCAAAGAAGGGCCAGAGGAACGTCACCTGTTAAAAATGTAATAATTAAAAGTGATTTAAACAGGAGACTAGCGAAGGAGAAAAAGGTGGACGACGAGCCGAGTGGGACAAACAGGCCAAGGCACCCCTTGAAATTTTGTAAGGGATTGAGGATGTTGGTCAGGAAGAGAGACAAGGCAAGGAAGGAAGATTTGAAGGTCACCCAGTAATTTAATCACAAATAAATCTAAAATTAATGTGAAAAGGAATGAGCCATCTACGTTAATCTGGGTTTAGGGGGTGGATGAGGGTGGAATTAGTGCAAGGCATGCTTTGAAAATGATGGGGCTGGTGCGTGGGCATGCAAGGATTGGTGAAACGTCAAGGAAGCGCGAGAGGAACGTCACCTATTAAAAAAATAAAAATTAAAAGTGATTTCAGCATAGTTCATGCTAAAGCGTAAATAACGGACGTAGCGCCTTGAGGGTCAAAAAGGCCAAGGCACCCCTTGAAATTTTGTAAGGGATTGAGGATGTTGGTCAGGAAGAGAGAGAAGGCAAAGATGGGAGAGTTGAAGGTCACTTAGAAATTAAATAGAAAATAAATAAAAAATTTACTTACAAAAATATTAAGCCGGCTGCTTTACTCGATGTGCGTGGGTTGTTGAGGGTGGATTGAAAGTTAGGCACGCTTTGCAAATGATGTTGCTGCTCGGTGGGCTTGCATGGCTTGCTGAAAGACCAAAGAAGGGCCAGAGGAACGTCACCTGTTAAAAATATAATAATTAAAAGTGATTTAAACAGGAGACGAGCGAAGGAGAAAAAGGTGGACGACGAGCCGAGTGGGACAAACAGGCCAAGGCACCCCTTGAAATTTTGTAAGGGATTGAGGATGTTGGTCAGGAAGAGAGACAAGGCAAGGAAGGAAGATTTGAAGGTCACCCAGTAATTTAATCACAAATAAATCTAAAATTAATGTGAAAAGGAATGAGCCATCTACGTTAATCTGGGTTTAGGGGGTGGATGAGGGTGGAATTAGTGCAAGGCATGCTTTGAAAATGATGGGGCTGGTGCGTGGGCATGCAAGGATTGGTGAAACCTCAAGGAAGCGCGAGAGGAACGTCACCTATTAAAAAAATAAAAATTAAAAGTGATTTCAGCATAGTTCATGCTAAAGCGTAAATAACGGACGTAGCGCCTTGAGGGTCAAAAAGGCCAAGGCACCCCTTGAAATTTTGTAAGGGATTGAGGATGTTGGTCAGGAAGAGAGAGAAGGCAAAGATGGGAGAGTTGAAGGTCACTTAGAAATTAAATAGAAAATAAATTAAAAATTTACTTACAAAAATATTAAGCCGGCTGCTTTACTCGATGTGCGTGGGTTGTTGAGGGTGGATTGAAAGTGAGGCACGCTTTGCAAATGATGTTGCTGCTCGGTGGGCTTGCATGGCTTGCTGAAAGACCAAAGAAGGGCCAGAGGAACGTCACCTATTAAAAAAATAATAATTAAAAGCGATTCAAACAGGAGACGAGCGAAGGAGAATAAGGTGGACGACGAGCCGAGTGGGACAAACAGGCCAAGGCACCCCTTGAAATTTTGTAAGGGATTGAGGATGTTGGTCAGGAAGAGAGAGAAGGCAAGGAAGGAAGCTTTGAAGGTCACCCAGTAATTTAATCACAAATAAATCTAAAATTAATGTGAAAAGGAATGAGCCATCTACGTTAATCTGGGTTTAGGGGGTGGATGAGGGTGGAATTAGTGCAAGGCATGCTTTGAAAATGATGGGGCTGGTGCGAGGGCATGCAAGGATTTGTGAAATGTCAAGGAAGCGCGAGAGGAACGTCACCTATTAAAAAAATAAAAATTAAAAGTGATTTCAGCATAGTTCATGCTAAAGCGTAAATAACGGACGTAGCGCCTTGAGGGTCAAAAAGGCCAAGGCAACCCTTGAAATTTTGTAAGGGATTGAGGATGTTGGTCAGGAAGAGAGAGAAGGCAAAGATGGGAGAGGTGAAGGTCACTTAGAATATAAATAGAAAATAAATATAAAATTTACTTACAAAAATATTAAGCCGGCTGCTTTACTCGATGTGCGTGGGTTGTTGAGGGTGGATTGAAAGTGAGGCACGCTTAGCAAATGATGTTACTGCTCGGTGGGCTTGCATGGCTTGCTGAAAGACCAAAGAAGGGCCAGAGGAACGTCACCTGTTAAAAAAAAAAATATTTAAAAGTGATTCAAACAGGAGACGAGCGAAGGAGAAAAAGGTGGACGACGAGCCGAGTGGGACAAACAGGCCAAGGCACTCCTTGAAATTTTGTAATGGATTGAGGATGTTGGTCAGGAAGAGAGAGAAGGCAAAGATGGGAGAGTTGAAGGTTACTTAGAAATTAAATAGAAAATAAATATAAAATTTACTTACAAAAATATTAAGCAGGCTGCTTTACTCGATGTGAGTGGGTTGTTGAGGGTAGATTGAAAGTGAGGCACGCTTTGCGCATGATGTTGCTGCTCGGTGGGCTTGCATGGCTTGCTGAAAGACCAAAAAAGGGCCAGAGGAACGTCACCTATTAAAAAAATAAAATTAAAAGTGATTTCAGCATAGTTCATGTTAAAGCGTAAATAACGGACGTAGCGCCTTGAGTGTCAAAAAGGCCAAGGCACCCCTTGAAATTTTGTAAGGGATTGAGGATGTTGGTCAGGAAGAGAGAGAAGGCAAAGATGGGAGAGTTGAAGGTCACTTAGAAATTAAATAGAAAATAAATATAAAATTTACTTACAAAAATATTAAGACGGCTGCTTTACTCGATGTGCGTGGGTTGTTTAGGGTGGATTGAAAGTGAGGCACGCTTAGCAAATGATGTTGCTGCTCGGTGGGCTTGCATGGCTTGCTGAAAGACCAAAGAAGGGCCAGAGGAACGTCACCTGTTAAAAATATAATAATTAAAAGTGATTTAAACAGGAGACGAGCGAAGGAGAAAAAGGTGGACGACGAGCCGAGTGGGACAAACAGGCCAAGGGACCCCTTGAAATTTTGTAAGGGATTGAGGATGTTGGTCAGGAAGAGAGACAAGGCAAGGAAGGAAGATTTGAAGGTCACCCAGTAATTTAATCACAAATAAATCTAAAATTAATGTGAAAAGGAATGAGCCATCTACGTTAATCTGGGTTTAGGGGGTGGATGAGGGTGGAATTAGTGCAAGGCATGCTTTGAAAATGATGGGGCTGGTGCGTGGGCATGCAAGGATTGGTGAAACCTCAAGGAAGCGCGAGAGGAACGTCACCTATTAAAAAAATAAAAATTAAAAGTGATTTCAGCATAGTTCATGCTAAAGCGTAAATAACGGACGTAGCGCCTTGAGGGTCAAAAAGGCCAAGGCACCCCTTGAAATTTTGTAAGGGATTGAGGATGTTGGTCAGGAAGAGAGAGAAGGCAAAGATGGGAGAGGTGAAGGTCACTTAGAATATAAATAGAAAATAAATATAAAATTTACTTACAAAAATATTAAGCCGGCTGCTTTACTCGATGTGCGTGGGTTGTTGAGGGTGGATTGAAAGTGAGGCACGCTTTGCAAATGATGTTACTGCTCGGTGGGCTTGCATGGCTTGCTGAAAGACCAAAGAAGGGCCAGAGGAACGTCACCTGTTAAAAAAAAAAATATTTAAAAGTGATTCAAACAGGAGACGAGCGAAGGAGAAAAAGGTGGACGACGAGCCGAGTGGGACAAACAGGCCAAGGCACTCCTTGAAATTTTGTAATGGATTGAGGATGTTGGTCAGGAAGAGAGAGAAGGCAAAGATGGGAGAGTTGAAGGTTACTTAGAAATTAAATAGAAAATAAATATAAAATTTACTTACAAAAATATTAAGCAGGCTGCTTTACTCGATGTGAGTGGGTTGTTGAGGGTAGATTGAAAGTGAGGCACGCTTTGCGCATGATGTTGCTGCTCGGTGGGCTTGCATGGCTTGCTGAAAGACCAAAAAAGGGCCAGAGGAACGTCACCTATTAAAAAAATAAAATTAAAAGTGATTTCAGCATAGTTCATGCTAAAGCGTAAATAACGGACGTAGCGCCTTGAGTGTCAAAAAGGCCAAGGCACCCCTTGAAATTTTGTAAGGGATTGAGGATGTTGGTCAGGAAGAGAGAGAAGGCAAAGATGGGAGAGTTGAAGGTCACTTAGAAATTAAATAGAAAATAAATATAAAATTTACTTACAAAAATATTAAGACGGCTGCTTTACTCGATGTGCGTGGGTTGTTTAGGGTGGATTGAAAGTGAGGCACGCTTAGCAAATGATGTTGCTGCTCGGTGGGCTTGCATGGCTTGCTGAAAGACCAAAGAAGGGCCAGAGGAACGTCACCTGTTAAAAATATAATAATTAAAAGTGATTTAAACAGGAGACGAGCGAAGGAGAAAAAGGTGGACGACGAGCCGAGTGGGACAAACAGGCCAAGGGACCCCTTGAAATTTTGTAAGGGATTGAGGATGTTGGTCAGGAAGAGAGACAAGGCAAGGAAGGAAGATTTGAAGGTCACCCAGTAATTTAATCACAAATAAATCTAAAATTAATGTGAAAAGGAATGAGCCATCTACGTTAATCTGGGTTTAGGGGGTGGATGAGGGTGGAATTAGTGCAAGGCATGCTTTGAAAATGATGGGGCTGGTGCGTGGGCATGCAAGGATTGGTGAAACCTCAAGGAAGCGCGAGAGGAACGTCACCTATTAAAAAAATAAAAATTAAAAGTGATTTCAGCATAGTTCATGCTAAAGCGTAAATAACGGACGTAGCGCCTTGAGTGTCAAAAAGGCCAAGGCACCCCTTGAAATTTTGTAAGGGATTGAGGATGTTGGTCAGGAAGAGAGTGAAGGCAAAGATGGGAGAGTTGAAGGTCACTTAGAAATTAAATAGAAAATAAATTAAAAATTTACTTACAAAAATATTAAGCCGGCTGCTTTACTCGATGTGCGTGGGTTGTTGAGGGTGGATTGAAAGTGAGGCACGCTTTGCAAATGATGTTGCTGCTCGGTGGGCTTGCATGGCTTGCTGAAAGACCAAAGAAGGGCCAGAGGAACGTCACCTATTAAAAAAATAATAATTAAAAGCGATTCAAACAGGAGACGAGCGAAGGAGAAAAAGGTGGACGACGAGCCGAGTGGGACAAACAGGCCAAGGCACTCCTTGAAATTTTGTAATGGATTGAGGATGTTGGTCAGGAAGAGAGAGAAGGCAAAGATGGGAGAGTTGAAGGTCACTTAGAAATTAAATAGAAAATAAATATAAAATTTACTTACAAAAATATTAAGCAGGCTGCTTTACTCGATGTGAGTGGGTTTTTGAGGGTGGATTGAAAGTGAGGCACGCTTTGCGCATGATTTTGCTGCTCGGTGGGCTTGCATGGCTTGCTGAAAGACCAAAAAAGGGCCAGAGGAACGTCACCTATTAAAAAAATAAAATTAAAAGTGATTTCAGCATAGTTCATGCTAAAGCGTAAATAACGGACGTAGCGCCTTGAGTGTCAAAAAGGCCAAGGCACCCCTTGAAATTTTGTAAGGGATTGAGGATGTTGGTCAGGAAGAGAGAGAAGGCAAAGATGGGAGAGTTGAAGGTCACTTAGAAATTAAATAGAAAATAAATATAAAATTTACTTACAAAAATATTAAGACGGCTGCTTTACTCGATGTGCGTGGGTTGTTGAGGGTGGATTGAAAGTGAGGCACGCTTAGCAAATGATGTTGCTGCTCGGTGGGCTTGCATGGCTTGCTGAAAGACCAAAGAAGGGCCAGAGGAACGTCACCTGTTAAAAATATAATAATTAAAAGTGATTAAAACAGGAGACGAGCGAAGGAGAAAAAGGTGGACGACGAGCCGAGTGGGACAAACAGGCCAAGGGACCCCTTGAAATTTTGTAAGGGATTGAGGATGTTGGTCAGGAAGAGAGACAAGGCAAGGAAGGAAGATTTGAAGGTCACCCAGTAATTTAATCACAAATAAATCTAAAATTAATGTGAAAAGGAATGAGCCATCTACGTTAATCTGGGTTTAGGGGGTGGATGAGGGTGGAATTAGTGCAAGGCATGCTTTGAAAATGATGGGGCTGGTGCGTGGGCATGCAAGGATTGGTGAAACGTCAAGGAAGCGCGAGAGGAACGTCACCTATTAAAAAAATAAAAATTAAAAGTGATTTCAGCATAGTTCATGCTAAAGCGTAAATAACGGACGTAGCGCCTTGAGGGTCAAAAAGGCCAAGGCACCCCTTGAAATTTTGTAAGGGATTGAGGATGTTGGTCAGGAAGAGAGAGAAGGCAAAGATGGGAGAGTTGAAGGTCACTTAGAAATTAAATAGAAAATAAATATAAAATTTACTTACAAAAATATTAAGCCGGCTGCTTTACTCGATGTGCGTGGGTTGTTGAGGGTGGATTGAAAGTTAGGCACGCTTTGCAAATGATGTTGCTGCTCGGTGGGCTTGCATGGCTTGCTGAAAGACCAAAGAAGGGCCAGAGGAACGTCACCTGTTAAAAAAATAATAATTAAAAGTGATTCAAACAGGAGACGAGCGAAGGAGAAAAAGGTGGACGACGAGCCGAGTGGGACAAACAGGCCAAGGCACCCCTTGAAATTTTGTAAGGGATTGAGGATGTTGGTCAGGAAGAGAGACAAGGCAAGGAAGGAAGATTTGAAGGTCACCCAGTAATTTAATCACAAATAAATCTAAAATTAATGTGAAAAGGAATGAGCCATCTACGTTAATCTGGGTTTAGGGGGTGGATGAGGGTGGAATTAGTGCAAGGCATGCTTTGAAAATGATGGGGCTGGTGCGTGGGCATGCAAGGATTGGTGAAATGTCAAGGAAGCGCGAGAGGAACGTCACCTATTAAAAAAATAAAAATTAAAAGTGATTTCAGCATAGTTCATGCTAAAGCGTAAATAACGGACGTAGCGCCTTGAGGGTCAAAAAGGCCAAGGCACCCCTTGAAATTTTGTAAGGGATTGAGGATGTTGGTCAGGAAGAGAGAGAAGGCAAAGATGGGAGAGTTGAAGGTCACTTAGAAATTAAATAGAAAATAAATTAAAAATTTACTTACAAAAATATTAAGCCGGCTGCTTTACTCGATGTGCGTGGGTTGTTGAGGGTGGATTGAAAGAGAGGCACGCTTAGCAAATGATGTTGCTGCTCGGTGGGCTTGCATGGCTTGCTGAAAGACCAAAGAAGGGCCAGAGGAACGTCACCTGTTAAAAATATAATAATTAAAAGTGATTTAAACAGGAGACGAGCGAAGGAGAAAAAGGTGGACGACGAGCCGAGTGGGACAAACACGTTATTTGAAATAGAAAAAATTTTGAAGTTATTCCCGTCAAAGAAATCATCTAGCTGGGATGGATTATCTATGGATACGTTGAAAAAGATTTCTGGTTATATAGTGTTCCCTGTGGCATTTATGGTGAATGAGTCGTTTCGCACTGGTAAATTCCCGGAAGTGCTAAAATTAACTGTAATCAAGCCATTGTACAAAAAGAAGGGTGAGAAATCCGATGCTAGTAGTTATCGCCCAATAGCCTTAACATCTTCTGTAGCAAAAGTATTTGAGAAATGTTTCCTAAATAGAATTGAAAGCTATTTCGCTGAAAACAATCTCCTTGCGGACGAGCAGCACGGTTTTCGAAAAGGCAGGAGCACAGTGACTGCACTTTTTAAGTTAGTGTCCGAAATCTACGATTCGTTGGAAAATAGAGAAAAAATCAATGTGATTCTGTAAGACTTTTCTAATGCCTTTGGGTGTGTCGTTCCCGAAATACTGCTTGCAAAACTGAAAAAATTTGGAATTGATGATGTATCCCTCCTTTGGTTAAAGTCCTTTCTTACTGATAGAAAACAACTTGTTCAACTTTTTGGTGTGGGTGAAAATGGCGAGCAAAAATTATTTGAGTCAACAATGGAAAATGTTTCGATTGGCGTACCACAAGGAACAGTATTGGGCCCTTTTGGCTATTCCTCCTACGGTAATGATATGCCCTTAAAAATCATTGTCGCCGCTCTTATCTTGTTCGCACATGATTCATCTTTTATTGTAAAGGCTAGAAACTACAAAGCTTTGAACGAAAAAACTGCTGTGGCAAATGACAAAATGATAGATTTTGCCAGTAATAACCGCTTAAGATTGAACGAAAAGAAAACTCAGGTGCTGCAAATGCATACTGCTCAAACTAGTAAATTGGAACCGCCTGTAATAAGAATTAGCGACGCTGAAATTGAAGTGGTAAATCAAGCAAAAATACTTGGTGTAATGCTCTCTGATACAATGAACTGGAGCACCCAATGCGATCAGGTTGTAGCGAAACTGAGAAGTACCACGTACCTTTTTGTTAAATTAAGGCAGCGCATTCAAACTAAATTGCTAAGAGATGTATATTTCGCCCATGTTCAAAGTCACTTACTATACTCAATTGTAATCTGGGGTGGGTCGCCTATGTTGGAAAAGGTTTTCATTGCTCAAAAGAGAGTTATCCGTGCGATGGCAGGTAAAAGATACTGGAAGGCATTGACACCTGTCGAGTCTTGCCGACCACTTTTTGAAGAATTTCAGATCCTGCCAGCTTTCTCTGTGTACGCCTTTGAATGTGTTAAATTTTACAAAAAGTATCCTGAATTGTTCCTCAAAAATTCTGAAAGCAAGGTGCACCAGAATCGCAGTACTCGAAATAAACCTATAGCGGAGCAAGACTTATTTGTCAAACCAAACAGACTGTTGCTGACTGCGCAGTCCCCTCACATCATGATCCCTAGAATTTTCAATCATCTTCCCGATAGAATCAAAAACATTGATAGTTATCAAGTGTTTAAGAAGGAATTGGAATTAATATTCTACGACAAAATGTTCTATGACGTGCATGAATATTTTTTGTGTAAAATTGTGTGAACTGTATTTTAAATGTATTTTAAATTTAGTAAGCTGTATTATAGTTATATTGAGATATAGCTGTATTACAGTGACCTATTCCAAAGATTATTTCTGTACATATGTTGATCTATACGGAATAAATATTATCTGAATCTGAATCTGAAGGCCAAGGGACCCCTTGAAATTTTGTAAGGGATTGAGGATTTTGGTCAGGAAGAGAGACAAGGCAAGGAAGGCAGATTTGAAGGTCACCCAGTAATTTAATCACAAATAAATCTAAAATTAATGTGAAAAGGAATGAGCCATCTACGTTAATCTGGGTTAAGGGGGTGGATGAGGGTGGAATTAGTGCAAGGCATGCTTTGAAAATGATGGGGCTGGTGCGTGGGCATGCAAGGATTGGTGAAACGTCAAGGAAGCGCGAGAGGAACGTCACCTATTAAAAAAATAAAAATTAAAAGTGATTTCAGCATAGTTCATGCTAAAGCGTAAATAACGGACGTAGCGCCTTTAGGGTCAAAAAGGCCAAGGCACCCCTTGAAATTTTGTAAGGGATTGAGGATGTTGGTCAGGAAGAGAGAGAAGGCAAAGATGGGAGAGTTGAAGGTCACTTAGAAATTAAATAGAAAATAAATATAAAATTTACTTACAAAAATATTAAGCCGGCTGCTTTACTCGATGTGCGTGGGTTGTTGAGGGTGGATTGAAAGTTAGGCACGCTTTGCAAATGATGTTGCTGCTCGGTGGGCTTGCATGGCTTGCTGAAAGACCAAAGAAGGGCCAGAGGAACGTCACCTGTTAAAAAAATAATAATTAAAAGTGATTCAAACAGGAGACGAGCGAAGGAGAAAAAGGTGGACGATGAGCCGAGTGGCACAAACAGGCCAAGGCACCCCTTGAAATTTTGTAAGGGATTGAGGATGTTGGTCAGGAAGAGAGACAAGGCAAGGAAGGAAGATTTGAAGGTCACCCAGTAATTTAATCACAAATAAATCTAAAATTAATGTGAAAAGGAATGAGCCATCTACGTTAATCTGGGTTTAGGGGGTGGATGAGGGTGGAATTAGTGCAAGGCATGCTTTGAAAATGATGGGGCTGGTGCGTGGGCATGCAAGGATTCGTGAAATGTCAAGGAAGCGCGAGAGGAACGTCACCTATTAAAAAAATAAAAATTAAAAGTGATTTCAGCATAGTTCATGCTAAAGCGTAAATAACGGACGTAGCGCCTTGAGGGTCAAAAAGGCCAAGGCACCCCTTGAAATTTTGTAAGGGATTGAGGATGTTGGTCAGGAAGAGAGAGAAGGCAAAGATGGGAGAGTTGAAGGTCACTTAGAAATTAAATAGAAAATAAATATAAAATTTACTTACAAAAATATTAAGCCGGCTGCTTTACTCGATGTGCGTGGGTTGTTGAGGGTGGATTGAAAGTGAGGCACGCTTTGCAAATGATGTTGCTGCTCGGTGGGCTTGCATGGCTTGCTGAAAGACCAAAGAAGGGCCAGAGGAACGTCACCTATTAAAAAAATAATAATTAAAAGCGATTCAAACAGGAGACGAGCGAAGGAGAAAAAGGTGGACGACGAGCCGAGTGGGACAAACAGGCCAAGGCACCCCTTGAAATTTTGTAAGGGATTGAGGATGTTTGTCAGGAAGAGAGAGAAGGCAAGGAAGGAAGATTTGAAGGTCACCCAGTAATTTAATCAAAAATAAATCTAAAATTAATGTGAAAAGGAATGAGCCATCTACGTTAATCTGGGTTTAGGGGGTATGGGTTTAGGACTATGGCAACTTTGTTAAAAGTGTCAAATTTTAATGCTGAAGTGTCAATACTATGATATGAATGAATATTGGACATGTAAATTTGAATGCCTAAATTTGGAAGAGTGAGACTCAGCTGCAGGGTTTTCGGGGGTGGTTTTCCCCTGCAGTATTTGAGGTGGGATAGTCAAATGCTTGCCCACCCCCGCCAAATTATCAATGGCGTGCGAGCTCCCTCAATCGCTCCCTCAATTACTCACTTATTGAATGTTATAGTTAAAATTTTTTGGAGGTTTTATTTTGCTATTTTATTGACTTGTTGTAAAGACAAATTGGTGATGTATTACATATGTCTAATGCAATAAATTTTGATCTAATCTAATTTACCAGCTCAATTCACCAGCTGGTGAATTAAGCTGGTTAATTCATTTGGTTAATTCACTAGCTCAATTCACCAGCTGATGAGGTTTTTTTTTTATTTTTCAAAATTATTAAAAATTGAAATTTAATTTATAAATAAATTAATTTACTTTTAATTTTTAATTTGAAATTTAAAAAAAAATAAGTGTCACCAGCTGGTGAATTCACAGGCTCAATTCACAAGCTGATGAGGTTTTTTTTTTTAATTATTAAAAAATGAAATATTATTTATAAGTTAAATTTATTTAAATTAATTAAATTTTAATTGTTAAAAAACTATAAAAGGGATTAATATCATAAATATTATATACATAAACTTAAAAATAATTAATTAAATTAATTTTTTTTAATTAAAAAATTAAAAAAAAATTATAGTCACCAGCTGGTGAATTCACCAGCTCAATTAACCAGCTGAATTTAGCTGGTGAATTAAGCTGGTGAATTAAGGTGGTGAATTCACCAGCTAAATACACCAGCAGGTGATGTTTTTTTATTTTTTTAAAATTTTAAAAAATGAAATATATTTTATCAATAAAATTATTTTAAAATATATAAATTTTAATTTTTAAAAAAAGGGATTAATTTTATAAAAATTTTATAAGTAAAATTAATATTAATGACTTCAATAAAATTAATAAAAAAAAAAATATAATTTAATTTATAGTTAATTTATTTTCATTATATTAAATTATAAATTTAAAAAAAATTTGAAAAAAGGGATAAATTTTATAAATATTTTAGAAATAAAATTAATATTCATTAATTTAATTCTAATTTTTTTAAATTTGAAAATTTTTAAAAAAAAAATTTGCACCAGCTGGTGATGTTTTTTTATTTTTCTAAAATTTTTAAAAAATGAAATATAATTTATAAATAAAATTATTGTAAATTAATTAAAATTAATTTTTTTAAAATAAAAAAAGGATTAATTTTAGAAATATTTTATAAATAAAATTAGTATTAATGAATGAAATTTTTTTTATTTTTGAGAATTAAAAAAAAATAATTGTCACCTGCTCTTGAATTCAGTTGGTGAATGCACCAGCTGGTTATTTTTAATTTTTTAAAATTTCCAAAAAATGAAATGTAATTTATAAATAAAATTATTTTAATTTAATTAAATTTTAGATTTATAAAATTTTGAAAAATGGGATTAATTTTATAGATATTTTATACATAAAATCAATATTATTTAATTAATACTTCATTTATATAAATAAAAATAATTTTTCTTATATTTGAGAATTTAAATGGGCTGAAAAAATGAATTAATTTTAAAATAAAAATTCTATGATGTTTTAAAAAGAGTTCTTACCTTTTATTAGTTGCAGGCACCATGGAGAAACTATGAATGCTTTAAAAATGCTGGATGTGCTCCAGGTGAGCCTCTGGCACAAACCCTGGTTTGAAGTCGAGACTGAACGGGATGAAAAAATGAATTAATTTTAAAATAAAAATTTAATATGTTTTTAAATTGAGTTCTTACCTCTCATAGCCAGCAGGCACCAAGCAGAATCGTTGAGTGGCTTGAAAAGAGCTGGATGTGCTCCAGGGGGAGAGCAGTGTACATTCCGACATAATGAAAGGGGGCTACCTTCGGAGGAAATGGTACGAATGCGCTGAAAATACAAATACAAATGAATTAATATTTTTTAATTAAAACATTTAAGCCCCATCGAATTCATGACTAATTCGACCCCAAATTAACGGCCACCCTCGTTGACCCCCATTTGGCCGACAAATTACAGACCACGCCCCCTTTTTCCAATTAAATTCAAACCCCAATCAACGGCCACCTTTGCCCCCTCGAATTCCCGACTAATTCGACCCCAAATTAAGGGCCACCCTCGTTGAACCCCATTTAGCCGACAAATTACAGACTGCGCCCCCTTTTTCCGACTAAAATTCAACCCCAAATTAACGCCCACTTTTGCCCCCTCGAATTCCCGACTAATTCGACCCCAAAATAACGGCCGCCCCCGTTTACCCCGATGTAGCCCACAAAATAAAGACCACACCCCCTTTTTCCACGATTTTCCGACATTCGGGGCCATAAATTACCCTTACCTCACGCTTTTCTTCGTCGTGGGGCTTCCTTTTGGTGCGCATCGTCGGCGTGCTGCCTACTTTTCCTTGTTTTCATTTCGCAGCAGTTCGTTCCGCGTTCGTTCCATGTTTCCTGTTGATGGGGGACCTGCTCTCTGTAGGGGAGGGTGCCACGCCCCCTTCCCCTTGCTTGTTGACGGAACAATTTTCTTCGCCTTTTACCTTTAAGATGTGAAATATAATTAATAAATAAAATTATTTTAAACTGATTAAATTTTATTTTTATAAAATTTCAAAAACGGGATTGATTTTGGAAATATTTTACACATAAAATTAATATTAATTAATTTATACTTAATTAATATAAATTAAAATAAATTTATTTCAATTAGTGTATTAAAAAAAAATAAATTGTCACCAGCTTGTGAAATCAAGAGCTAAATTCACCAGCGGTTGTTTTTTTTTTTTGTTAAAATTTTTATAAATTGAAATTTAATATATAATTTGTAAATAAAATTAATTTAATTTAATTTTAATTCTTAAAATTAAAAAAAGGTGTAATTTTATAATTATTTTATAAATAAAATTAATATTAATATACTTAATTTAAATTTGTTTAAATTCTTAAACTTAAAAAAAAAAATAATTGTCACCAGCTGGAGAATTCACCAGCTCAATTCACCATTTGAATTAAAAAGCTCGCGGCTAGCCGAATACTTTACTCCATTGTAATCTGGGGTGGCTCTACACACATGAAAGATGTTTTTCTAGCGCAGAAGCGAGTAATAAGAGCAATGGCTGGTGTTCAATACTGGAGAAGTAACTCGGCGCTAGACTCATGTAGACCACTATTTGTGAAATTTGGAGTTCTTACAGTCTATTCATTATATATTTTGGAGTGCGTTAAGTTTGTGCGTAAATTTCCTGAAAAGTTTAATCGGAATCGGGATGTTCCAGGTGTAGTAGTGCGAACTACGCGTGCTACCAGCTACGTCGACACTGATTTGTTTGTAAGGCCAAGCTCACTAAATTGCGTAAATGAGAGTCCGGAGATAATGATTGCCAGAGTATATAATAAACTACCTAATGTACTGAAAGAAATATCTGACTATGGCAACTTTGTTAAAAGTGTCAAATTTGTAATGCTGAAGTGTCAATACTATGATATGAATGAATATTGGACATGTAAATTTGAATGCCTAAATTTGGAAGAGTGAGACTCAGCTGCAGGGTTTTCGGGGGTGGTTTTCCCCTGCAGTATTTGAGGTGGGATAGTCAAATGCTTGCCCACCCCCGCCAAATTATCAATGGCGTGCGAGCTCCCTCAATCGCTCCCTCAATTACTCACTTATTGAATGTTATAGTTAAAATTTTTTGGAGGTTTTATTTTGCTATTTTATTGACTTGTTGTAAAGACAAATTGGTGACGTATTACATATGTCTAATGCAATAAATTTTGATCTAATCTAATTTACCAGCTCAATTCACCAGCTGGTGAATTAAGCTGGTTAATTCATTTGGTTAATTCACTAGCTCAATTCACCAGCTGATGAGGTTTTTTTTTTATTTTTCAAAATTATTAAAAATTGAAATTTAATTTATAAATAAATTAATTTACTTTTAATTTTTAATTTGATATTTAAAAAAAAAAATAAGTGTCACCAGCTGGTGAATTCACAGGCTCAATTCACAAGCTGATGAGGTTTTTTTTTTAATTATTAAAAAATGAAATATTATTTATAAGTTAAATTTATTTAAATTAATTAAATTTTAATTGTTAAAAAACAATAAAAGGGATTAATATCTTGTTTGAAGAAGTTGACACTCGAGGAGATGATCATGGAAATGAAGATTCGGGCTTTTCCTCGTTGCAAAAAATTGTTTTTTATTCAAAAACAAACGGCTCTACCAGTTTCGGTCACGGTCTGCGACCCTATTTCATGAGCAAGAAAAAATACAAAAAATCAGCAAAATTTAAAAACCACATTTTAACATAAAAATAAAAATCTTAAAACTAACAAATTCAAGTACCAACCTATTTCATGAGCAAACGCGCTGCTCGCTGACTAATACAAGAATGAGCTAGCTAAAGACAGATTGATTGGGGGAGGTGATCTTTATTGGGTGATTAGCGCGCGGCGCGGCCGACCACGGGGGCGCCGAATGACGTCGGGCACATTATGCGTTTTCGAGAAAAAGCTGTTTGCTTCCTCTCTCAAAAAGGACATCCACCTTTGATCGAATTGGTGGCTCGGTTGGCTTATTACATTATTACCGCATGCCATTGCCATTGCTTCCAGCACTTTTCTTTTTGATTGATTTTGTTCGAATTTAATAACCGTTGCATCTGACCATGCAAAAGAGTGGCCAAATTCAGTTGCGTGTTGAGCTATTTGAAAACCATTGCTGTCCGTCCCAATTGAAGCCGGATCAAAAGTTTTTTAAAATTGCCCTTTTATGCTCGTCAAATCGGAAATAAACGTGTCTTTTTGTCTCCCCAATGTAAACTGAAGAGCAATCGGCGCATGGCACGCGGTATACACAATTACGCAGAGCAGGTTCACATTTGGGTTTTACATGCATTAAACATTTTCGCAGATTTGAAGAGTTTGAGAAAGCAACTCGTACTCTGGCAACTTCTTGGCTGATGGCCCTGATTTTCTCTGATTTTCCTTTAAAATAAGGAATGACCATTGTGGTTGAAAATTGTTCGGGGGCTTTGGGTGTTGGAGGATTTTTTGCTTTATTGTGTGCTTTGTTGATAAAATTTACGGGGTAACAATTTTGACGAAGAATTTTGTAAATGTTGGAAATTTCTTCTTTCAAAGAAATTTCCCCTGAGCAATAACTGTATGCTCTTTTAAACATTGAGAGAGCAACAGAGAACTTAGTTGAGAAAGAGTGATTTGATTCAAAGTGGAGGGTTGAGTTGGTGGAGGTGGGCTTGCGGTAAACTGAAATTGCAATTTTTTCACCATCTTTTTTTAAAAGTAGGTCAAGAAATGGGATTTGGTCATCCTTTTCAAACTCACAAGTTAATTGAATTGAGGGGTGGATTGAGTTGCAAGAATCTAAAAATTTTTCGATTGGGAAAACTCTTTTTCTGTAAATTATGAAATAATCATCTACGTATCGGACGAATAGACGGGGGGATTGTTTGAAAATTTCTAGGCATTTTTTATCAAAGTTTTGCATGAAAATTTCAGACAGCACTGGGGACAGTGATGATCCCATAGCTAATCCTGATTTTTGTTTGTAGAATTTATCTTTAAATTGGAAGAAAGTTGAATTGATGCTAAATTCAATTAGTTCCAAAAGTGCGCTAATTGAGAGGGAGGTTCTGTCAATTAAAGTTGGGTCATTTTCAAGCTTTTGTCTTAAAATAATTAAAAGATCATTTGTTGGGATTGAGGTGAAAAGGCTTTTAACATCGAAGCTACAAAATTGATCAAATTTGGAAAGTTTGAAATTTTTAATTGTTGGGAGGATTTGCTCTGCATTCTTAATGCTAATTGTTGACTTATCAGTTAAGGGTTGCAGGACGTTGGCAAGGTAGCGAGCGAGCTACAAGACGCCTCACATCTACGGCCTTCCGAAGGTACACAAGGAGGGTGCACCGCTGAGGCCCATCGTGAGCACCGTGGGGTCCGCTTTCCAGCCGCTCGCTCGCTACCTTGCCAACGTCCTGCAACCCTTAACTGATAAGTCAACAATTAGCATTAAGAATGCAGAGCAAATCCTCCCAACAATTAAAAATTTCAAACTTTCCAAATTTGATCAATTTTGTAGCTTCGATGTTAAAAGCCTTTTCACCTCAATCCCAACAAATGATCTTTTAATTATTTTAAGACAAAAGCTTGAAAATGACCCAACTTTAATTGACAGAACCTCCCTCTCAATTAGCGCACTTTTGGAACTAATTGAATTTAGCATCAATTCAACTTTCTTCCAATTTAAAGATAAATTCTACAAACAAAAATCAGGATTAGCTATGGGATCATCACTGTCCCCAGTGCTGTCTGAAATTTTCATGCAAAACTTTGATAAAAAATGCCTAGAAATTTTCAAACAATCCCCCCGTCTATTCGTCCGATACGTAGATGATTATTTCATAATTTACAGAAAAAGAGTTTTCCCAATCGAAAAATTTTTAGATTCTTGCAACTCAATCCACCCCTCAATTCAATTAACTTGTGAGTTTGAAAAGGATGACCAAATCCCATTTCTTGACCTACTTTTAAAAAAAGATGGTGAAAAAATTGCAATTTCAGTTTACCGCAAGCCCACCTCCACCAACTCAACCCTCCACTTTGAATCAAATCACTCTTTCTCAACTAAGTTCTCTGTTGCTCTCTCAATGTTTAAAAGAGCATACAGTTATTGCTCAGGGGAAATTTCTTTGAAAGAAGAAATTTCCAACATTTACAAAATTCTTCGTCAAAATTGTTACCCCGTAAATTTTATCAACAAAGCACACAATAAAGCAAAAAATCCTCCAACACCCAAAGCCCCCGAACAATTTTCAACCACAATGGTCATTCCTTATTTTAAAGGAAAATCAGAGAAAATCAGGGCCATCAGCCAAGAAGTTGCCAGAGTACGAGTTGCTTTCTCAAACTCTTCAAATCTGCGAAAATGTTTAATGCATGTAAAACCCAAATGTGAACCTGCTCTGCGTAATTGTGTATACCGCGTGCCATGCGCCGATTGCTCTTCAGTTTACATTGGGGAGACAAAAAGACACGTTTATTTCCGATTTGACGAGCATAAAAGGGCAATTTCAAAAACTTTTGATCCGGCTTCAATTGGGACGGACAGCAATGGTTTTCAAATAGCTCAACACGCAACTGAATTTGGCCACTCTTTTGCATGGTCAGATGCAACGGTTATTAAATTCGAACAAAATCAATCAAAAAGAAAAGTGCTGGAAGCAATGGCAATGGCATGCGGTAATAATGTAATAAGCCAACCGAGCCACCAATTCGATCAAAGGTGGATGTCCTTTTTGAGAGAGGAAGCAAACAGCTTTTTCTCGAAAACGCATAATGTGCCCGACGTCATTC